AGATTCCGGCTAACAAACTGAAATCTTATCTTGCCGTTGATTACCGTATGTTATCTTTGCGGTAGCTATGCTTAGCTATGGGTGACTGCGTGTTAACTGCGAACCACCACGAGCATTGCCAGTCAGTTAATGCATCGACAAAGGATGTGGGAATACACACCGCTCGACCTCGACATGTTGGCTAGCATCTAAATCCGGGCACTAGACGGGACTCCGCAGCAGCGGCGGCGAGCATAGACCGTGTATTTGTGGGCTGCAGATATAGCCTTAGGACTCCGGCTCGGCAGCTCTCAGTTCGCTAAACAGGAGACACTGAAATAGATCGTACACAAGCCGCGAAATCTTACCAGGAAGACAAAGCAGATGCTGCCGCACAAGTCCTCTCCACAGAGACTTCTGGCAGTTCTTGCAGATGCGGTGAGCGAATTGACTTCCTCAACACTTGAAACTGGACTGAGCTGTGCTGGCTCATGGGCAAAAAAGGGTACGCAAAGGTGCGCAATGCAAAGCAAAGCAAAAGCGAAGGAGTCGCGTTCGTCACATGACCTGTTGAACCCTGATAATGGACCTCAACGAGACCCTCACCCGACCTGAATTCTATGTGCTCACGACATCTGAACTCGCATCGCAGCGGTTCTTTTAGACTGGGTGTGGGGGACAGACCTGAACCGTATTTTTTGTTGACCCCGCCGGCAGGACCCACCCTTAGCGGGCCAGGTGGCAGCTGCCGCCAGCTGAAGAACACAATATCAATGTGCAGACGCGCACCCGATATTCCAGAATTGAATGCCCTCCTCAATTTGGCCCAACTTCAGACACAAGCCGGCCAGGTTATAGGCAATGCCTAGAAGCGCATCTACTGGCTGTGTTAGTCACGACTTCCCTAGGCCCAAGACGCTGCAATTGAGAGATCTGTCTTTCCAGCCTCCAGGTGGAGTCCGTTCACACTATGTTTCATATATGTTACCCGGTTCGATTCATCTCTATCTGAATTAACTTCATCGAGGCCAGTCATACTCAGGGCCGACATTATCGAACCAGTTTTTGAGACTCCCTGACATATTGAATGGTTTTGGGGGCAGGAATACGAACGATTCGGCGCCTACCCGCTGATGTTAATCGTATCTCACTAGAAACCCTCCTCACCGTTCCGCTCAGCATGCAGCGCATGCGAAGAAGCATCCCGGGATGGGACGTCGTCGCGAAAACAAGCACCGAGCAGCGGAACCAAGGCTCAATGACGATCAAGTCTGTATCATTCGTTTGATCTGTTCAACGCTTCTGACTGCTCGACTTATCATACTCAGACAGAACTATCAGTTTGGTAGAAATTCAAACCAGGTTGAAAAGTTTTCGGCAAACCCCGAGCGAGCTGTCGTGGCGTGTTCAGTAAGTAAGTACTTTGTCCCAAATTCCCGTGTGCGCTATCACTGAATGATTGGACGCATACATAAGGGGTATGCGACAGTTATGCATGCCATGACTGAAAGAAATGGTACAGAATAAAGTTTCGGGCCGGAAGCACTTAAGCACAACAAACGGAAAAGATGGGACTGTGTCCAGCTGTCAGTGTGTGCATCCCAGTTTCTCCAAAGTATGTGCCGTCGTTCGCTCATAATCGTATATCAGTTGGCTGATGCTAGTCGGTCCTAGTCGGTCCTAGTCGGGGGGTCCGTGATACCATATGCTAGTCGGCCCTATTCGGTACCATAGCCCATCGTCCCCATGCTATTCAAATTCCCTTTATGAGCCGCATAGGCGACACTCGGGGTCCCAACCCTTCCCCCGTCCTTTCACTGGCACCTACCGCACTATGGCCTCCCAAAGAATTGCTCTTGTCACTGGCGCTGGCGAGTATTATTCCTTTATCCAAGGATCAAGGCTGACCGGACGAAATAGCAAACGGAATCGGGAGGGCTGTCGCTCTACAGCTGGCAGACGATGGGTTTGATGTTGCTGTCAACGACATGTCTTTTAATCTGGAGAAACTGGAAACGCTCGTAGATGAGATCCAGAAGAAAGGGCGGGCAAGCTCGAAATGTATCGCAGATGTGTCGAAAGAGGACGAGGTGAAGCAGATGGTTGAGGCAGTCGTTGAGTACCACGGTGGGCTCGATGTCGTGAGTGGTCCTATTTTTCGTCTCGCTGAGATTCTCAAGTCGAAACAACAGATGGTGGCCAATGCAGGCGTCATCGGACGTCAGCTGCCTTTCACGGAAGGTACGAGGTTTTTAACAGGCCGCAACATGTGTTGATATTATTTGAGTCCCCCTGGAGGAATGGGACAGAGTTCACAACATCAACGCCCGAGGAGTGTTTCTGTGCTACAAGTATGCAGGGATTCAAGGATTCAAATGATTAAACAAGGACGTGGTGGACGCATCATTGGAGCATCGTCTCTCGGGGGACAACAGGGTGAGTAGGACAGGATCGAACTTACTTACCACAACTTGAACCTGGCGCATAGGTAATGCGGCTCAGGCAGTTTACTGTGCATCGAAAGCAGCTATGCGCGGCCTCACACAAGCTGCGGGTGAGTTGGTTTAATTGACTGTTGATAAGAGTTGACGGCACAATTGCAACAGCGCAGGAATTCGGGCCGCACAACATCACCGTGAACGCCTATGCACCTGGTTTCATTGACACCCCGATGACTCGTACGTTATCATTCAGATTTTATGTTGATGACGACCAACACGGTTTATTTTCAAAGAGGGGGTTCATGCGCCAGGATCTGGAAGTACTTCATTGGCGTTGGATCAGGCGAGAAGCATGCTAGATGAAATATTTAATGCTCAATGTTGCACTAGCTTTTGGAAAGGACCCCACTTAAACGGGCTGGGTGCGTAAATTAAACTTCGCGTGGTTCACAATTGTTTAATGAAAGCGACAGAACCTCCGAAGACGTCGCCAGTTTGGTGTCGTTCTTGGCTTCGAAAGGGTCTCAATTCATCACCGGTGCGTATGCTTTTGCCCTCAATTCAGACAACCAATTGACGATTTTCTTCCAGGACAAGCGGTCAGTTGCAACTAAACTCGTGATCTTTCTGGCCATACTTACTTCTTTTGTGCAGATTGCGACCAATGGCGGCGTTTATTTCGCTTGAATTTTGTGCATCCTAGGGAATAACGGTTCCTTCATGTCCGTCTTCTCTGGCGGTGCAGCTTTACCGTTCCAAGTCACTTGCTTGCGTCGATTGTACTCAATTTTGTTTTTTAACATATAATGTAACCAGAGGACTCGTTGAGTTCCGACTTCTTTCCACCGCCTCCGCCTCCTAACAACTGAACTTCCTGAGGTGACAGGACAGATGCCTACGCAGAAAATCCCCGTTCATTTGGTCGGTTTATTTCCTGGTTCATTTTCTTACAACAGCTTTCTGTCTCTTTTGACGCTCTTCAGGCTTCAAGTCTCGCTTATTTCCTCAAATTTCCACTTCTGCCCGAGAGGATACGAGCACAGCAGTTGGTGCGTCTGCATTTTCTCAAGTTGAACTTCAAGGACATCACCGTAGTTTGACAGATGGCAGTGCAGGGAACTCAATCATGATGGTCTCTATGTCTTGCCGTCGGAGGCCATCGAGGCCGTCCGCAGCAGCGTCTGCCTTCTGTCCTTAGCAGTTCCCATTGTCCGATTCCCAGTACTATCCATTGTGAACGCCTTCAAATGGATCTGAATCATCTGCGATCTGTTGACCCCGAGGAGAATATGCGTCGCATGAGAAAAGGCGAACCGCACTACGCCTTCACTCCTGACCTGATCGCAGACCGCAAGCGATGCGCCGCTGCCTTTCGAGCTTTCAACAACGCTGGGGATGTTTCTCGTCGCGAGCTTGTCCAGCTTTTCAAGAAGTGAGGCTTTCAACTTCCAACTGCTTGTCTGATCGTGGTCTATAGTATCCAGGACGACAAGACCCCGATGCCAGCACCTGCCGCCACGCCAGAAGAAGACGAGGACGTCTTGTCCCAGTATGTTTGGTGTGACGGTCCCATCAAGTTCGACTATGGACGCAATGTGAAGTGAGTTCTTAGTTATGTCTGCCTTAGAACGTGTCTTATGATGGCAGGTTCGGGGAAAATGTATACGTCAACAGCAACAGCACATGGATCGATACTTGCCTCATAACTGTCGGCGCACGTACAATAATCGGCGCGTCCTCAACCTCCCTCGTCTGGCCAATCCAGGTTGTTAAATCTCCTGTTTTGATTCAGGCCCAAACTGTTCCTTCTACTCCGGCGGCCATCCTACGGATCCTGCTGTCCGGAATGGTCTGAACGGCCCAGACATAGGCGGCCCAATCACCGTCGGAGAGGATTGCTGGTTCGGAGGCAACTGTATCGTGCTTCCGGGAGTGAGCATCGGCCGCGGGACGACGATTGGAGCGGGAAGCGTGGTAACGAGGGATGTACCGCCGTTCTCGGTCGCGGTCGGAAACCCAGCTAGAGTCATCAAACAAATCGAGTCGGCGTGGAATCAGTAGTTGCCCACCCTGAATAAGATCAACTTCCCGCAGCGATCCACAAACGTTCATGAATTGAAGGCTTCCAGGTACTCAAGTTCGATCTCTGCGTGCGAGGGTGTCATGCGGCTACGATTACTCTATTATAATTGATTAAAATCAGATTCAAACAATCTCTATACTCTCCCCACTCTCCATGTTATTATTGTCCGATAGCACAACGGTTAGTGCGTCTGGGAGTTATGATGATCTCTCTCTCCAAGGAATCTTCATTCGGAATATCCCCGTTCGACTCGGGATCAGGCTCTTGGAACAGAGGATACTTTCTTTCTCTTCTCTATTCTTTTAACCTTCGTTTCTCACTCAAATCTCCTTCAGGGTTTTTTTTGGACTTGTCGCGAGCGAGTGCGACGTACGAGGCAAACAGCTATGATAAGTTCAACCATAACTATTTGATTTTTAAAACATATTGATCCAGTTCAACTTGTGCGACATCTTTCCTTGCGCGACATATATCCAGCTCACTTCGCTATTTATCATCGCCTGATAGCATAGTGGTTAATGCGTCTGCATTTTTTGGTGATACATACGCGATATGTGCAGAAGACCCTCGTTCGATTCGAGGTTGGGTGATGCGTCGGCGGAATACGTGGTCCTTTTGGTTCATTTTGTTTTCACTTTTTTTTTAACTTAAACCTCATCCAATCTCTTTCCAACTCCAGAAACCCTCCAACATACGCCTATGGCACTGCACTCTTCGATAATAAAGAAATTTAACCACACTTCATGGATCAACTTTGCAAGTCTTTGTGGTTCATGCACACGATCATATTCAGTGGATTACTCCGTACCGTCACCGCCCGATAGCACAACCGTTAGTGCGTCTGCATTTACTTGAAGCTGAGAGAGAACTATTTATGCAGAAGATTCGAGGTCGGGCGATTGGGCCGGCGAGTTAAGAAGTTTTGATTCTTTTTGTTCTCAACTTCAAATTCACTTCTTTCCTTCCAACCCAAACCTTATCCAATCTCGCTCCAGCTTATTCTCTTCTTCAACGTGCGACCGCGACACTGCAGCAGACACTCCTCGATGATACTCGAAATAAAATGAACCACACTTGACGGATCAACTTTTGCAAGTCTCCCAAAGTCCTGCACACCCTTATGTTCAATCGATCGATCCACACTGACACCGCCTGATAGCACCACGGTTAGTGCGGCTGCATTTATTCAACAGTGCCTGAACTCATTTATGCCGAAGATCCTCGTTCGATTCGAGGTCAGGCGATACACGATGGGGAATGATTTTATTTTTCCGTTCGTTTTCTCTCTCTCTGGAATTTGTCTCAGCCTTATTTTAGCAACCTTCCTTTCGAACACTTGAACTTCCAGGATCTCTCAAGCCTGCGTTCCAGCCACGGACCCAAGTTCACCTGCATCCTTTAACCTTCCAAATCACCTCTATAATAGACTAGTGCACTGTGTCATACTACCTGATAGCACAGTGGTTAGCGCGTCTGTAGCGTAAACTTCATGTTGCGCTGTGCAGAGAATCTTCGTTCGACTCGAGGTCAGGCCATGTACGTGACGGGGGTTTTTTTGGTTCATTTCTCTCTTTCTCTTTCTGGCGTCTACATATCTATCTCAAGTCGAATTTGTTTTCAAACCTTTCACGGCAACCGTATACAACAGTAGGGCACTCTCTCATGATAATAACAATGATTCCCCATAATTGTGAATGATCCCCCAATTGAGAATGATTCCCCGTTGTGCACATCGGATCGGACTAAGTACTAATCCTTACATTAAGCCTGACGCAGTATGCTATCAATCACCCGGTAGCACAGTGGTTAGTGCGTCTGCACTGCTTAAAAGACAGAAAAAATCATTTATGCAGAAGATCCCCGTTGGATTCGGGGCTGGGTGGGTTATGTCGATTTAAATTTGTGATTTTCTTTTTGCTTCTCCTTGCGATTCCGATTTCGTTTTTTTTTCGTTCGACTCAGCCTTTGTGGACCAGTCAAATTTCGATCGCCATTCCTAAGTTTTGATCTCCAAGTACTATGTGATACAGCTTCGAGAATGCTGGTACATACTGGAAATTGAACTTTCTACGCGGCATCTTTCACTTGACTCGATGTTGCAGCCAGAGGACAACTCCGAGAGCTACTGTATACAGCCGATGTCCAGCTGCCAATTGATGAAATCGATCTCAGGAAAGAAATCAATCCCATAAGTGGACTCCAACGAGGGACTCGACTCAACACGACCAACAGGCATGCAGCGATCCGCGTTCATCTCGTCGGAACCGGCCCTCACAGCGCCGCCGATCGCAGGCCTCGAGGGCTCGGATCTCGACGCAGTGAGGTAACATATCTGCGAGGTTATCTGGTGGAACGCAACGAGACAACTGCCACTATCTGATGGTGAGGGCCTGTTGGTAACGACACGAGGAAGGTCGAAAAGGAGACGAGTCGACACAAGGAAGCCCAAGAGGTAGTCAAACGCAGCCTGTTAACGAGAGCTGCTAACGACAGGCCCACGAGCAAGTCCGAGCGGTGCATTGACGGATTTAGACTCGGACTTGGTGGGATTTGTTGGGTAGGAAGAACCTGATACAGTCAGTGTTAGGCATCGGCGCCACGATTCAAAGGTGTGAGATGGTCGAATTGCAGCTTCATGAGAGACAGCAACGAGTCCTGTAATAAATTTCTTATGCGCAGTGGTGGTGGTGCAGAGCAGACGCAGTCGTGTGACTAGTGTGACAAAACGGTCACTTATTACCTGCTTGTGGATCTACCTGAGCACCGTGCTCTACCTCCTTCCACCATGTCTTCGAGAGCGCGGCCAGCGTCGATGCCACCCGCATCCAAGGAGCAAGAGGCAGACACGCGCACCCGTCCGCCGTCGTCCGGGACCAAGCGCTCAAACCGCATCCTTGGCGACTACACCCTCAGCAAGACTCTTGGTGCGGGATCCATGGGCAAGGTCAAGCTGGCCACCCATAATATTACGGGAGAGAAGGTACGCTTCTGCGGCTTTCTTTCCGTGTGCTGACCGCTGCACAGCTCGCCGTGAAAATCCTGCCGCGGACGACGAGCACGGCACCCAAAGACGCTAGCAAGGAGACCCGTACTCTGCGTGAGGCGGCCTTGTCGCTATTGCTGCACCACCCGTACATCTGCGGGATGCGCGAGATGATCGTCCACCAGCACCACTACTACATGGTCTTCGAGTATGTGAATGGCGGCCAGATGCTCGACTACATCATTTCCCATGGCCGCTTGCGTGAGCGCGTTGCTCGCAAGTTTGCTAGGCAGATTGCATCGGCGCTCGACTACTGCCACCGCAACAACGTTGTCCACCGCGACCTCAAAATCGAAAACATTCTTATTTCGCAGACGGGCAACATCAAGATCATTGACTTTGGTCTTTCGAATCTGTACGACCCCGTCGGACACCTCGCTACATTTTGCGGCAGTCTCTATTTTGCTGCGCCGGAGCTGCTCAACGCCAAAGTCTATACCGGCCCTGAAGTCGATGTCTGGTCCTTCGGCGTGGTCCTATATGTGCTGGTATGCGGAAAGGTGCCGTTTGATGACCAGAGCATGCCTGCCCTGCATGCGAAAATCAAGCGCGGCCTGGTTGAATACCCTGTGTGGCTCAGCGCAGGTGGGTGGTATTTATTTCCCTCTTTCGTGCTACTCTAACTTTTTTCAGAATGCAAACACCTCCTCTCCCGCATGCTCGTCACTAACCCCGCCCTCCGCGCTCCCCTCCACGAAATCCTTGCCCACCCCTGGATGATGCGCGGCTTTCCCGCCCCTCCCTCGCCTCACCTTGTCCGCCGCGAACCCCTTCGCCCACAGGACATCGATCCCCAAGTCATTCGCGGCATGCAGGGCTTCGAATTCGGGACCGACGACACCGACATCTCCGCCAAGCTGCTCTCCATTCTTGAGTCCGACGCCTACACGCGCGCCTGCCGCGCCTTTGACCGCCGCCGCGGCGGCCCGCTCTCCTCCCCCTCCACCCTCTCAGACGCCCCGGGCGCTTGGCAGCCCCCCGCCCACGCAGACACCCCTGCCTCCCTCTCCGCGTCCTCGATCCAGTCCGCCTCCACCACCGCGGGTACCTCGTCGCGCGACGCCGCGAAGAAGCGGCGGTTCAGCGGGTTCGACTTCTACCGCCGCAAGCTCTTCGCCGCGCCGAGCCCGCCGCCAACGAGCGCCACGCCCTCCGCCCCAAGTGCGTCCCAGAGCGCGCTGAGCCTCGGATTGGCGCCGGAGGACCGCGATCCGACGCGCGGCTTCCACCCGCTCGTGAGCATGTATTACCTCGCGCGCGAGAAGATGGAGCGCGAGCGGGTGTACGGAGCGGGGGTATTTGCGAGCAGCCAGGTCAGTGTCGTCGCGGACGAGGCCGCGAAAGATAAACAGAAGGAGAAGGAGAAGGATAGGGACGGGCACCACCACCGCGAGAAGGATGGTCGGGATGGGAAAGAGCGCGTGGAGAAGGCGGGCAGCGGCAAGGCGGACTACAACATGCCGCTCCCGCGCCTGCCCGTGCCCGAGACGAGCCACTACTCTGGCATGTCGTACGATGCGGATGCGCCGCCTGCGTCGCCGAATGGAGTGCAGGTGAATGGTGCTTCACATGTGAACGGGGCAACAAACGCGACAAATGCGGGTGTCGCGTCGCCCGCGCCGAGCCCGACGGCAGTGGCCTTCCATCCGCAGCCGCGCGCTCGGGATGCGGGTGTTGGTGTGGCGATTCCGCCGCCGAGTCCTGGGTTGGGGGCCTCTGGGATGGCGTCACCGCCACGGGCTCACGAGGGGCGTCTTGAGGAGCCAGCCAGGGCAGGGACGGTCGCGCCGATACGTGCGCCGCCGGCGAGTACGCATCGGCGGAGCCATAGTCTGAGTCAACGGCCGACGGTACTACGCGGGTGGGGCGGGATGTTTGGCGCGGAGCGCGCGCTGATGGAGGAGGAGGCACCGCGGACGGCGGGGCCGGAGATTAGCGGGTTTGCGGAGAGGGAGAGAGACAGGGAGAAGGAGCGGGAGCGGGGGAAGGATAGGGAGAAGGAGAAGGAGCACGAGAGAGAGAGGGACGGCAAGGAGCACGACCATGCACTGTCACTCTCGGGCGGCGCGACGCTGGTGCGCAAGCTCGGGAGCATGCTCGGGTCTGTGCGGCAGCACGGCGATGACGGCACAGGTTCGGGCCGCCGCACGCCGTCCAAGCGCGCGACTATCCTCGGCGGGCTGACGCTCTCCCCTCGGGCCTCGCGTGACGACGGGCACCGCGATCGCTCGCATGTCGACGAGAAGGCGGATGCGAAGGAAAACGCGGACGTGGAGGGCCCGCCGAGCGTCATCATTGCTTCGCCACCGCAGGCCAAGTCGGTGTCGCACAGCCAAAGCCAGCCGTTTGGGAGCGTGCACCGACGGGCAGCGACGGTCCTCGATCCGGCGGGGCGTGCAGCGCGCCATGAGCGGCGGAGTAGCACTGGCGCGGCGATGCTGAGTGCGTTCCAGAGTGGTGGGACGATGGGGCGGAATCGGAGGCCATCGACGGGGCAGAATGGGATGAGGCCCAAGGCGGATCGGATGTTCTCCAAGACGGATGAGGAGAATGAGGTGCTGGAGCAGCCGGAGGAGGAGGGGGCGACGGATGGGGACGAAGAGCACACGAGGGATGGGCAGGCGCAGGAGGACTTCCGTTCGGAGGACGAGCGACATACAAGTGAGAAGGACTTCAAGCCGGTGTTTTTGAAGGGGCTCTTTAGGTGTGCTTTTCCCGCTTATCCCCAGTGTCTGCAGATCTAACGCAGGCTTCAACAGTGTGGCCACGACATCTACGAAACCGCCGCCGGTCATCAAGGCGGATATTCGCCGTGTGCTGGACCGGATGCAGGTGCAGTATCGGGAGAATAAGGGCGGATTCGAGTGTATCCACCTGCCGTCCATCGATATCTCGAAGATTGAGCGACCGAGCACACCACAACGGCATCGTCATGGGCACCACCACCAACAGACGTCGTCCGGCTCGGGCGACACGCCCATGTCGCCGACCCCGCGGCCGAGTCTTGTCAAGAAGGTGTCGAAGCTGTCGTTTGGTATACGGCGGGACAAGAGCCGGGACCGTGACTTGTCGGTCGACAAGGAGCGGGAGCGGGAAGCGCCCGGGCGGCCGTCGGGTGCAACGACGCTGACTGCGACGCCGAGTAGCGGGTCGTCGTCGTTCTTCAATGTGACGTCGCATCAGCCCATCATTGCGCCCGAGCCCAAACCCGCGGTCGCCCCCGTTGCGAACGGTGCAATGGTGCCTAGCCTTTCGCTGGATTTCGATGTCACCCCGCCATCGCGGACGGCATCCCCCGCGTCTATAAAGTCGAAGGTGCTGCCACCAATACCGCGCGACTTTGCGGCGTCGCCTGGCCCGATGAGCCCCAGCCCCAACTCGCTGCCGACGGGGGAGGTAGACCGGGAGGTGTTCGAAAGCATGGGGAACAACACCCTCAGCGTGCGCTTCGAGATCAATATCGTAAAAGTGCGTCCTTCTTGCGTTCGTGCCTGCTGCGAGAGCGAAGCTAACGAACGTTACGTTCCAGGTCCCATGGCTCCCGTTACATGGGATTCAGTTCCGCCGCGCGGGCGGGGACGGCTGGCAGTACCAGATGCTTGCGCGGCGCGTTCTCACCGAGCTCAAACTATGACCCGCCCCTCCTTCCTTGCATCTGCATCTTTTCTATTCACTTCGGCTTTCGTTACTGATCCTCGCTGAGTCCCGGGCTGCTGTTCTCACGATACACACATTTCGTCTTTCGCTCTTTATCTCCTCTCTCTCTCTCTCTCTCACTCATTCTCTTTCCTCGCTCCTCTGTCTATATCATCCGCCATTCACGCGACGCATCCCTAGCAT